AGAGAGTGCGTCAACATTTAATTTATATACATAAGAGGCCAAACGCTGAAAGCTGCCACAGAGGGCAGCTACTTCTCTCGACAGCACCCACTTGAACACTTTTCTATTGCACATGAAAGAGCGGCAAGAACGAGTATTACTTTGGCGATAAATGGAATGATGGTGCAGAGTAATAGCGTTTGCCAGAAAAATATTAAAGATGAAGAAAAAAAACTTGAAGGGTCATTTTCAGTGTTCTCAATCACGAGCATTCCTACAGGAAAATCATGCGAAACAGGAATGTATGAATGCAGTCCCACAGAACTATGGATAAGGTAAGCCAACACCGCCTATTTTTATCAATGCCAGCCAGATACGCCCGATCCAGCTGCTCACGAAACCCTCTCCTCTTGCCCTTTCCCATTCTCACATCGCCTAGCCTACACGTGTTCTTTGCGGTCATGGAGGAGAGTAACCCCTCATGCAGTGCCTCTCGACAGAAACCGTAAGAAGTAATTTTTGTTCAGTTGTGTACAGATCTGCGGGGCGGCAACTTTCATTCCTTGTATTCCCGATATTGGCAGTCACGTTGGCTCTGTGAAATATACTGTGTTCTGAGAAAGCGTGTCGCCGTTGGTGGCGCTATGCGGGCAACCATAGAGGAAGCATCACTGCAACGTTTCTGAATATGCTGCTGTGATGCAGCGGCAGCATTGTCTCGAGCCAGAAAGAAGCAGCATGAAGAAGCGAACCCGACGAACGTATAATATTAGTGTGGGAAACATCTATCACATCTTTGGGGGAAGTGCTCGAACGCACGTATGACACAAGCAGTGCCCCCCTCACACAGCGCTGCATCATGACCACTCCCCGAATTAAGACAGACCAACGGCTCCCATTGAGAATCGTGCGTTTGCAATGGCATTGAAAAAAATAAAGGAGGCATTGGGCAAGCCATAAATCAGTAGTGCCATACAGGGTTCGTGCAGGTTTCCAAGAGAAAAATTCAAGGACTTTTCAAGGACCTTTCAACAAATTTAAATAACACGATTGTAGTTCCCAATTAAGTTTACTGCACAAAAGAATGGATGTTCAGTTCGCTTATTGCAGTTTCACTAGACTAGAAGTTTGGAAGCTCAGGGCAGGTCTCAGTTTTTTTTTCTATACGAGTCATAATGCTATCAAGTTCAAGCATGTAACAGCTTGCGAAAGACTGCGAAAGTCAATATTGATGTCACCAGTCGCTTCTGCCTTTTCAGCAAAGTCTTCAACAGAGGTAATTAAATCGGCAACAACTGCTTCAAGTTTCTCTTCAGCTGCATGCATTCAACTTCCTGGATAATCAGGCGTGTTTTTGTCCGACTTGCACTTTCTTGGCACTTTTTCTTCGATTCTAAGTGTGTGCAGCCTCGCTGCGGAAACAGCCAATTTGAGCTCTTATGGCGACATTAAAATGCCACCTGCCCTTTCCACCAAGTCACATATGACACGCTGCAAAATATACGCAAGCCCTTGAAGTTCTCTACAAAGATTTGGCAGTTGACGCTAAACCACCGTTCAACACTTGCTTGTCCATGGCTAAGAACAAGAAGGAGCTTGGTTGTTTCCCATAGCTCTTTATAGGAAGGGTAGAAGCTCAAGAGTTCGCGAAAGAACTCGTCCAGTCTGTTAACGCTTTTCTCAAAGAGACAAAGCTCATGCTTGAACTCTTCCAGCATTTCGGTGTACTCTGCAAGCACACATTCCCGCCGGCTGTCACTCAGTCTTCCTGCTATGGTCAAGATGTCTAGCACCTTTCTTAGGTCCAGCAGGCACTGATCTGGCTTTGAGCACATGAGCTGGGAGTCTAGATCAGACAGGTTTCGAACCAAAGATGACTTCAAGGGACTTCGTTCCAGTATTTTCTTGGCCACAACTACCAAAAATTGCTTGCACTCCATTCTGAAACGAAATGCATCCTTTGCACTAGCTTTTGAACCCTTCAGTGCTTGTTCACACTTGGGACCAATATAAGAGAAATGTGGTTAATGGGGTTATCAACCTCCACCCTCAGCAGACCAACTCCACCCAATAACAACAACACTGAGGCATTCGTGCATTTTGAAAGGAGCTTCCACACAATACTTTCAAGATCTCTCCCAAGAAAGAAGATCATGGGTTTGTCAGATTGAAAGTCTTTCAAGAATGGCTGAATAGTCAATTCAACACTGAGGGCGAAGTTCAGTTTTGCCAGTGACATGTCAAGGAGTCGTGACAAAAGCTATGCACATTTTCAAAGAATGCACACTTCGGTAAGCTCGCCTGCTTGCTTCTTGCAGACATCACATATTTCTTCATATTCCAAAGAAGCAAAGCTCTCTCAATCACAATTGTGTTTTCCACGCATCGATGGGACACAAACGGCAGAGGAAATTTGTTCTGGGTAGTCACGGTTGAAAAACAATCCCTTCGTGCAGGTGTCATGGAAGAGTGCACTCATGCTTGACAGTAGAATGTCGATGCCCCACTTAGAGGCTGCGATGCTTGCTTTGTAAGCATTATGGACGGTATGGAGGCCACAAGTTCTCAAGTCGATGATGATATGTGGTGTTTAACGTCCCAAAACTACCGTATGATTACGAGAGACCGTAGTGGAGGGCTCAGGAAATTTCAACCACCTGGGGGTTCTTTAACGTCATTTATCGCACCCAAATCTGAGCACACGACAACATTTACGCCTCCATCAGAAATGCAGCCGCCACAGCCAGAATTTGATCCCGCGACCTGTGGGTCAGCAGACGAGTACCTTAGCCACTAGACCACCGTGGCGAGGCGTCCCGAAGACGACACAATGGACTTGGTGGTTCTCTTGAAAATGAGCTTGCATGTCCCTAAAATACTTAAGGTTGACATTTGGCTCGTCCATGGATATCTGAAGAATCTTGCTAAGTAGCAAAGGCTCCAAAGCCTTCAGTAGTACGTTCTGCACATCGTCTGCTGTGGAGTGCCCCATGAAAACAGAGGTGCTAGTGACCACCTTGTGTGCCGAGTCCCAATATCTCACATGCACGACCATTTGCTTTTCTTGCAAGAAGTCATTCATCGACTCGTCAAAAAGTATGACGTAATATTCGGACTTCTATACCTATTCTCGCAAGCACGACAAGAAAAATGGCCTCAGTCCACGGCACGCAACATACGCACATTTCTTCCCACCACAAGAAAATGATTTGGCCACCTGTCAGAAAACATTCGCTTGAACAAGTCGCCACTTTGTGCCGATGGTCTGTATGAGTAGTGGGATGTAATCACTTTCAGTGTCCACAGAATTTCGGCACAGGCGACAACCTCGTGCCACGTGCAGGCGCTGCTAAAGGCCGTTTCACATGACAAAAAGCAGCGATTTTCAGGCTGTGAATACGCTTGCAGCGAAAAAGGGCAGTTTGCTCCCATCGCAGCGGTCCCCGACGAGCTTCCAACATGTAAAAATTTTTCGCTCTGATCACAGCGGCGGGAGAGATTTTTGGTCGGGACCCATCGAAATAGGGCTGGTCCGGCCAAGCCGTCAAAATAGAGTCGACGTGTTTGTTTTGGTAATGGCCGATGCTGTGCATTTTAAACTGAATTTAGACTAAAAAGTGTACTTAAATGACGAAACAAGCGAGCTCTTCGTTGGTGTTCCTGGAAACTTCATGATATCATAATGCAAATATTACATTATATTCATGACAGCCACAATGAGCGGTGGCAAGAACTTGCCGCTCCAGTCGCAGAGTGAAAATCGCGGACTGTTCGCGGTCCATGTGAAAGGAAACCGCCATTAGCAGAGGTTGCGAACATAGCGATTGAAGCGAACGGAACAATTTTTTTCGCTGCAGTCGCGGCATGTGAAACTGCCTTAAAATCGGTCGCTTGGGATGGAGCCGAGTTAATGGATCGCTCCCTTGAGCTTGCCGTCAGGTAGGTCTGCATAAAGTTTCCAGCTGACACAATTCCACTACGCTTGGTGCTTTTTGCATGGCTTTTGAGAGCGGATTCACCCATAGAAGCGACGTCAAAGCTCTTTTTGCACAATGTGCATTTTGCACGGTGTGTGTCCAATACATCCGGCGCAATCCAACGCTTATAATTATCGTTGCTGAGCCAGGTGCTCTAACCTGCATTTCCCAGGCACTGCTGCAAATAATGCCACCTGCATGCACGATCATGCGATCACAAAGCACACAGCAACCAACATGTGCAAAACAAAACACCGGAGCACGAGCAAGCACCGACAAGCTATATAGCCTACAATGTGGCCAACATTGATTGATAGATATGTGGGGTTAACGTCCCAAAACCACTATATGATTATGAGAGACGCCGTAGTGGAGGGCTCCGGAAATCTCGACCACCTGGGGTTCTTTAACGTGCACCCAAATCTGAGCACACGGGCCTACAACATTTCCGCCTCCATCGGAAATGCAGCCGCCGCAGCCGGGATATTTTGCAAAGTACAATGTGGCCAACAGATGATACTGAGGTGGCAGAGGCTAGCGAGTGTGTGCTGCACTTTTTTTGCATGTTGCTGCTGGGATACCACTAAGCGAAGCCAGAAGAAAACCTCTTAAGCACTAGTATAGTCTACAGCAATAAGCGCATTCGTGCAAACTTTTTCCCTGAACTCAAAAATCTGTAGCCTCATTGTGGCCATCAGCTTATGGCTTCTCACCAAACAAAACCAAAGCAAGCCAGATAAAGATAAATGGCGCTGCGGGAGTGCGCATGCCGTCATCTCATACGGGCGGTTTGACTGTGTCAGACTTCGTAATCGTGGGAAGCGATAAGCAATGATGTTTGCCCGGCACCACGCTCAACTGCTGTGAATTGCGAGTCGTACAATTAAACCCTGCGAAAATCCCCAATATTCAACGGTTTTCAGGGACTTGTACGAAAATCCAGGACTTTCAAGGCCTGGAAAACGAATTTTTTTATTTCGAAGGTTTTCAAGGACTTCAAGTACCTGTGTGCACCCTGGCCATAGCACTTACCCTTCACAGGTCCTGCAAATAACAGTATGGTCCACTTCAAGTTTCACTGTTTTACCATTGTATAAATCTTCTAATGACACCCTGCAAAAAAATTGTCACGCATCAATGTACATTCACTCCAAAGAGTACAAATTGTTTAAAAACACTTGTTTTAAATAGAATAATGCTGCTAATGTTTTGCCATTATTGACAATGAGATGGCTAAATGTCTACCAATAAAATTCAAATGATTTTCAAGGTTTTCAAGGCCCTAAAAATGTTAGTATAGTCAACTATTTAATTCAAGCTTGTAGAGACCTCTGAATTTTGTTTGATTTATTAGAAGTTCTCAGATGACTCTGGGTGAGGTGAGACCACACATAATTGGGCATTGAATTTATCACATTTAAAAATTTTTAAGAGTATTTTTATACCCTAACTGCACACACTGAACAGAAAGCATAAGTGTAAGGTTCACAAGTTTATCTGCCATTTACTGCTGATCAGACCTCTTAAAGAAATCTGGAATCGCCAACTGGTTCTTTGCTATATTGCCCTTCAGCCCAAAGCTCTCTACACCAGTTGAGATCCACGACATACCATGCGTGCACTTAGTTTAGTTTCAAACATTCGTTTACTCGCAAAGCCTTTTTCCTTGAAGGCCCGAGGCACTTTTAATTTCTGGACTGTTAGGATTATATAAGCATGCAAAATTTTAAATAGTGAGAAAGCAGCAGATATTTTCTGGTATGGAACTGCAAAAAGTATGAATTAACCGAATGATCAAGTGTGAATTAACCCATTGATTCCCAGTATGAGAAACACTTTTCAAAACTTCAAAATATTTCTTTATGTTCTTAGAGTCACTAGTAGTGCAAGTGTTCAATGAAAAACTTGATTTAGTCTGCGAATTATTAATGGGATGTTGCATAAAATGGAGGCCAAGCAAAGAGAAAAAACTTTTTATTGCCACCATTAATTTTGACGAATTTTCAAATTGAAGAAAGCACAAAGCTCAAAGCATAGCTGTTTGTCGCCTACTGGTGGAAACTTGCAAAACAGTTACAGTCTTTGTTGAAACAACATCACCTTACACTTGGCACAGGAAACATAGGTGTACCCCCCTGGGCATGCCTTGCAGCGGTTCCGTTTTGCATTCCATGTGGGCCAGTGCTCCTTGCTATCTCTTCCGACATCACGGGGGGACATTTAGGCACACTTTCTTGAGTAGCCCGACATTATGAATTGAAGGGCGCCCTGGTAGTCGTTTGTTGAGCTAGATCAGACTCGTTGCGAGCTCAGAGAGGAATTCTCTCAAAGGTGTGGGCGGCAATTTGTGCTGCTGGAGAATTTTCTTGCGCATGAACCATGCATTAACAGCAGCTATTTTGAGGGTGTGTCAAAACAAATACATATACCAGCGTTTAGACCCGACAGAAAAACTATACGAGAAGCACATTTTGTCAAGAAGATCCACGCCACCCATTGATCTGTTGTAGGCAGGAATTATCGCTGGACGATCGACAAAAATGTGATTTTTCTCCTTGCTGCCCCACCTTTTGACTGATGTAAGCGGGTCAGCACCAATGCAATTCAAAAGGAGAGTAAAAGTGCAGTTGTCATGCCACTTCACTGCCACCATTGTCTTTTGGTCACAAGAAGTGACTGAAGTATCACAGGCGCCCAGACCTCGATTTTTCATCCATCAACTTGCTGTAGATGAGTGCTTTCACGAACCGTGCCAATATGAAAAATTCCCATTCTTGAAAGCTGCTCTACAAGCCGAGGGCCTGTGAAAAAGTTATCAGCGATGACTAGATTGTCTCGCTTCGAGAGGCTGGAACATAGCTGGAGCACGATCCCAGCTCCCAACCCAAGCTGGTAGCCACCCTGGCTGCCATAAAAACCTTTGTTGCAGCGCTGGTAGAGCTCGAAATCATAACACAGACCCGATTCCCCAGAACGTGCCCAAAGTTTTAGACCCCATTTACTCTTTGGTTTATTAGGCATGTACTGACGAATGTAACACCGCCCACGGAAGGGGATCAAGATTTCGTCCACTGCAGATTTTTTTGTTTCTTGGGGCAAGACAACCATGTTGCTGCGCAAGAAATTGAGCCATGGGTGCACTTTCCAGCATTTGTCTTCTTTTACTTTGTCATCGGCCGCTTCATTATCGAAAAAACGCAGGTGGCTTGTTATCTCTTCAAATCTTTTGTGGGTCATTACCTGGGCTACTAACCCATTGGCTACTAACCGATTGAAAAAAAGAGGGCCAACCAAAATTTTAACTTTGTCTGAATAACCAAAACTATGAATTATCAGAGTTTGAATTATCGCGAGTCTACTGTGTAATGGTGTATTCGGTTGGCCGCTCCAGTCCTCTGGCTCAGAGTCACTAGATGCAGAGTCAGCTTGCAATCGGCGCGCGAGAGGCAGCGTACCAACCGAATGTGTCAGCGATCTCGGAGCAGTGAAGGTCCTATAGCGCCGCCGTGCGGCCAATGCGAGAAGCCTTTGGGCAAAAATTTCCTGCGGTGCAGCCACAAATGGCGCTGATCAGTTCAGTGGTCATCTCAGAGATGTCTGGACACAGCGAAAGCCTTCCGAGCTCAGCACATAAATCTGGCAATCGTTATCAGATCTGCTATGTAAGGCAAATCACGTGGCTGTATGTGAGCTGCTGTAACGACAGCATTTACATTTCTTCCGCTTTTGCTAGCCGCCTCTATTTTGACGCGGTGCATTTATGGCTTCGTAGATGTGAACTCGCCCCATACACTCAAAAACGCCACTAACAATGCACGTGCAGGAAGTATTATGCGCCTGGCGGTGTCCCCATTCTGAAATGCGTGCTCGAACTGTTGGTGCAGTTCACCCGGTTCACCTGCCAGCAGCCACGCGATTTGCCAGCTTATGTCCTGTGATCCGTCCTCCCAGTCAGATTGTGCCACGCTCTCACTTCAAAGTCTGAGCAGTTGGGAGCACTCCAGAGTCTGAGGCTAATGCTCTGAAAAACCAGTCGAAGGTAACCCAAGCGCTCGAATTCTACCAACCATACATGAAACCACTTTTCAGAGCACATCAGAGCCCAACCCAACCCAACCAGTAAGCGCCCAACCGAATATGCCATAAAATTCAAGGGTTTTTCAGAGTTTTATGGAGCAACGAGTGCTTACTGAATAATAAATACCCATTTATTGCATTCTACTCAAGCATGAATGTATGTGCGCTGTATTATAAAGCACCAATACAAAGCATATTTTAAGCATTACAATGAACAGAAATATTTTATTTTAAACATACAGACGACAATCAGTGTTCATGATGCCACTTTTGTTGACACAGGCCACTTCCATTGACACAGGCCACAGCCAGAAAAATTTGAAAGTCAACTCTACCCGTTTTTCGAGTTAAGTGGACATCAATGAAATTTGCTGGGTACATTCCATGCAACATTTCACCACTTGTAAAACAACAGCCTTGAAAGATGTGCAGATTCAATTGCATCATAGGTGATGCAGAAATATGCCAGTCTGAAGGTATGTGACGAAGTACACACTTCAAATTCCTCCACGAGTTTTGTTTCCACTACCAAATGAACTACCTACATAGCACTGGCCAACAAACTGCCAAAGAAACGTCGCAATTCTTTAGTTTTATAAGTAACTGACAGCACCATGATGAATGGCTGGACCAGGGGTGAGACGGCCGGACTGAATTGCGAGCAGTTTTTGGAGCAGGCAAAATTCCACTTTTGGAGCAGACGAACCTTGCTTTGGAGCAGTTAGCACGCAAACACTGAAACAGACTTTGAAGAAAACTTTTTAACAGATTATAGCCAGGTCTGAACTGCACTATACTGAACTATATATATATATATAATATATATATATATATATATATATATATATATATATGGGATTTCGCCTAAGAACAGTGACATGATTTAGCCTATTACTGTGTTGTCTTTTGTACGTCTATCTGCTAAGCTGGGTGGTTCGCATAACATTGCCTCTCGTCTCCCCCAGTGCACTGCACGCTTTTAACAGACAAAAGTGTGCTGCACCGCTGTTAGCGGCCACCTCGCACTTGACCATTTTCATGAGCGCAGTGCGGGAGCAAAGAAACCTTGCCGCACCAAGCGCAAACATATGGCACAAAGTGTTAAGCGAATATGGTACTAGGTGATAACGCCGCTCGACGCGCAACCAGGCGTTAATAATACTGCCCAAGTTGGCCTGTACTAGCCCCGTTCACGTAGAACTCCTAGCGATGGTGCTTCCCAAATCCCGTAAGGCTCCGCATGCCTCACGAAACGAAGAGGCCAAACGCAGAGACCAAATTGTGAAGAAAAAGGGAAAGAAAAAACGAAAAAAGGAGGTATGTCAGTCCAGTCACGCTGCAGAACAGCCGCCAACCGCCGCACCATTCGGACATAAAGCTAAGCCTAAAAGCTCGTCTAGCCCAGCGCAGGCATGCAGCAACGCTTATTCAAGCGCTCGTAGCGAGTTTCAGTTATAAAACGAAGCAGTGGAAAATCAGTTTATGAAAACTGTACCACATGATTGCCAACTCGTCATGAGTCACGAATAAAGCGCAGAGACGCCCGTTAATATAGTTTCAAGTGATTTGAATGCGTGTTCTGTTACCACGGGCTCTCAAATCGTGCAAGTTAATCTTCATGTCTTTCGCCACCTGCAGACACCGATGTGCGAATTAGGTGCGTGACGACCTTTTAAATCGCTTGTATAAATAATTAGTCACTAATGGAGGTAAACCGAGAGCATGTGCAAGCGTTCAGTCGCTCACCGAACCCAGTTTGAGAACCCACGCGCCAGAGCGTCCAGGAGACGTACATGAAGGGGGATCACTCCACATTTACACGATTAAAATGCTCACGGCAAACGCCCGCGCGTAGGTGACCGCAGGGCAGCAGCGTAGACAAAATTCACAGCGACCAAGGGAATGAGCTACGCACAAACTTGAGAATCAACCCCCGCAACACACGTCACTCTGTTAGGGTGGCTAACTCTGGTTTTTGCTAAGTGAAAGGGGCACCAGAACAGAGAGCCTAGCTAGAAGAAGCGGCACGCTCTAAT